CCTTGTGTGCGCTGATTGGCAGTGTTATTCGATTTACATATGCAAACACACTGTAAGTGGATTTTGATGTTGCTCATTTGAACACAGAGTGACATCATTTCATGTTTGTGTCTGATCCCCTGCAGGTTCACGTGGGCATGTCCCACCAGGAGCAAAGGGTTGTGGGATATGTCACGTGTACACACCTCCATGCTATAGAAGGTACAGTTACATGTTGTGCAGCTGTCCAAGCTTTGTCTGTCACTTTTTCTGTCTCTCTCTCTCTCTCACACACATACAATAAAATAAAGGCACACACTTAATAATGCATGTATGCCAGCTATAGTCATGGAGCTACACACAGGACCGTGTAAGCCTGTGTTTCTCTATTCAGATTCCTAGATAAATGGATGCATCAAAACCCCAGCGTGCTTCCTCCTGCTGTTCCCATGGTGACTGGCTCAGGCTGTTTAAGGCGTCACAGCCCTATTTAAAGCCTCCAGTTGATGATGCCCTCATTTGTTTCCCAAAGACACCCTGCCCCCGCCCCCAAGCTTGCTATTCTGAGATCCTTCTACACTTCTCACAGGCCTAAATATATAGCAGAGCCAGGGCTGTTTCTAAAAATATATCAAACATGAAGCCTTTGGGTAGGGGGAGCTGGGATGGGATGATGGGGATGAAAAAGCAGGGAGGGGCAGAAAGACCTGGTTCTTTTCTGAGAGAAAAGAGGTACACTTGAGTGAGTATCGTGCATAAGTGCAGGATGCATGATGCAGAATGAGTAACTACACTGAACCTACACTGAACACAATCCCACAGGATTAGATCAATTTTGGTGTTTTGCTGCACATGAGTGCATCAGGTGTCTCCACCTGCTTTGGTTGTTGTCACATCATTCGATGGCCCGGTTTCACTTGTTATCAGACTGTAGTTATGGCTCAGAAGGTCCCTACTCCAGCTACTGGGAGGTTCAGTAGGTTGCTATCACAGCCTACTAGACAGTTGTCCTGGATACAATATGGTTTGGTTTAGGAACAAAAATGGCAGGTTTAGGAAAATGCTCAGTGTTTCACTCTGGATTCAAGCTTCTCTCTCATGTGGCAAAGGTCCATGTCTTCTGACCAATCCGTTCTCTCCAACCTCCTCCTAACGAGAACTTTCTCACTCTATATACTGCGTTCCCCCATTTCCTATGACCATTGCATGTCGCCTACTTACGATATCTATCTATCTATATCCCACCAACACCATGTTCAGTCATCATGCGAGCTGTGTGTCAAGTCTTTTTGTCACCATTTGGGTAGTCTGGTTAGAGTGTACTTATTGTTCTGACTCTGGCACATAGTAAATTGATTTCCCCGGTTTTAATCGGGCCCACACACTTCTGATTGAGCACTGGTGGGAAACAGTTGCTAACAGGCACAGCATCAAATCTATTAGAAAAACTTAAAACAACTTAAAACAGCTTAGAGAGGAAGATGACACCTTTTAAGGTAAGACATAGATTTTATTCTACTCCAGTAAGACTCCATGGAGTGAAACAGACGGTTAATTTGTTCTGGAAATGCAGCCTGAAAAGGGGACTACCTGCTAGCTGTAAGAGTCATTTACATAAAATATGATGGGAGGTTAACTAGATTTATTTACCTACGTACCTGAAACATGGGTTGCACATTGCCTGGGTTCAAGGAAAACATCTTAATTCCTCTGCACTACTTGCCAGTGTGTTCCCTACTGCAATATATCATTTTGCCATTCAAAAACTTCTTGGTGGACAGCTTGGAAATTCACAAAGACTGCTTTCACGTAGCTTTTAGCCAGTCTTAAAAAGCTGACAGCAGCAAAAACACAAATCAGACAGAAGAAGCTGCATTAGTGAGCATTCGGACATAAAATGCAACCCCAACACAAGGGGCTGCATTGGTGGGGGGTGTGAGTGGTTGCAGGGGGATTGCCAAGTAGGCGTGTATGATATGGCTGTGATGAGTTCAGGTGACTGGCATCAATCACGCTTCCAGCCCACAAGTTTCCGTTGTGTTTTGGTTAGCCACGCTGCTTACGTAGCCTACTACCAGTTTCTGCCACCAGTGTGTCGGCATCATTAGACAAAAACCAGTTTAATATCCAGTAGCCTAACCAACAAAACCATCATTATGGTGCTTTGGTAACTGTGACTCAGATTAGAGAGTGAATATCAGTGAACGCTAACATGGTAAACAAAAGCATGTTCTTCTTGTGGGCATCCACATTCTGACCGTCCCCCATACGTGACTGGTCAGTGCACTGTCCTGCCTGATGATGTCTCTTTCTCGGGCAGCAAAAGTTGAACCAGATCAAGCTTTCTCACTGCACAGGTCTGCGTTTTTTTGGCTAGAGCCCCCCGTACTGAACACAGTCCCCCATAGAAATGGATAGAGAGGCCTGCATTTTCTCACACCTCTGAAACTCAGTCTGAACACAGCCTGACTCAGATGGTAGGAGTAAAAGAACATATTACATTGGTGCTCCTTTATATTAAGATTTCTGTTGAGTTACATGCATATGAACATCTGAAGTTTTTCTTAAATATGTTTTCAGACACATGTAGCCAAGCTGAAACATGCAAACATGCACACACATGTACAGAAAACATGCCTCCACAACCACCATCTTCACTGAAGTGTCCCTGCAACACAAAAATTTAAAAATTTTGAATTTCACATGTACTTGAGGCCGAGCTGAGAGTAATCAAAGCCAAAGCCACCTACTCACCTACCATTATCTTAACACCTCTTTGTTTTTCACTCTCCGCTATTCAGCTGCCATCTCTCCCTCACATGCTCTCACCCACCGCCTCCCTCCTCTCTCCAACTCCAGTTTATTTGATTTACTGGCAGGAAAGGACAGAGGCAAATGCAGCCAAAGCAAAACAGCACCAAAACTGACTTAATATTTTGTTACTAAAATGAGTTACACAATAAATAAACTTCATACCTTTGTAAATATATGTCACTAAATCAAAAAATAAACTATGAAATTACTGAACAGTACTAATATTTTGCAGTGTGTACTTATGAAGTGACAATATAGTAATTATACATTCAAGCTAATTGCAGTGAAAACATGATGATCATAGCACAAAACAGCAATTAGCAGACATGAAGCAACAATAGCATTCATGAGGAGTGGTGTTTTACATCAGCCCGGTTTTCTCTCAGCTTTCAGCCCCCTCCTTTGGTTTAGTAAACCAAAACAATGAGCTGAAAGACACTAAAATACTGTGAACAACTCCTCTGACATGACACATTTTAGTCATTGTTCAATTAAGCCATTGACTTGGGCAGATTTATATCTCACCAGTAATATGACGCTGACTCTGAGTCTCATTCTAATTCAAGACTAATTCAATTAGGGCTGTAAGGACAAGGATGTGACATGTTTGACACATGACACAGCTCTTGCGAACACTGTTTTCATTTTAAATAAAATGATTTGGCTGGATTTGCATGAGACCATATTGTTTGTGTTCAGATCTGGACTGGGCTATACGCTGGATTGTTGTGCTCTCTTACAGAGTTTTTACTCTTGATGTTTTGTGTTTACAACACATTTTATTTTCATACCATACTGTTATGATCTGAGCTGCCATGTTGTTTCATGATACATGCCAACCCTAGCACTGCTAGTGACTGAATCATACTGTGAGGTCTTGTCTAATACCCAGACATGCTCCCTGTCTTTGGCTGCCACTCACTCACTCCCTCCTTTGTAGATCAGTTCAGGTTAGTTTTATTCAGACATGCTCAGGTGGCTTCATGGCGAACACTTTGCATTTGCTTGCTTAATACCTCCTTTCTCCTTACTTCCCCCTCTCTACACACACACACACACACTGGGCCATCTGCCAGGTGGTGCTTCTGTGCGATGTGAGCAGCTGAACCTGTTACTCAAGTGGGGGGCCGAATTTCGCCAATCCTCGTCCCAGCCTCCTGAAGGAGAGAAGGTGCTGGAGGACCTGGTGGCCTTTGATGTCATCCTGGGAGACCTCAACTTTGACAACTGCTCTTCAGGTATGCAGCTGTCAGGACCAAACCAACACGTTCAAAAGCCTAATATGGGTTTAGGCATCAACTCGACAGAGGTTCTATATATGTAAGTCTGTCTATAGCTCCGGCAGAACCGTTTCATGGTGCTGTATCTTTACAGTGGAAACCAATCAAATATTAATATATTGACCATTGACAGTGACAGTGAACTGCAGTGTAGAAACGCCTGGCTGGAAACACTTTACCACAAAATTGATGTTTTTCCCAAAATTTAGCACAGTTAATTTCTGTTTCAGTTTCAGAATTGATATCATTGTTATGAAATAAGCCATGATTTTTCTGTCTAGATATGATGTATATGTACAGGCAGTCACGTACAATCACACTCAGGTTTTACATGTCAGGGAAAAGGAACTAGCCATGTTCTGTCTTTGTTGGGCGGCGTTGGAGGTGGGTATACAGTGACATGCTCAAAGATCTTTAGTTGCACATCACTCTTGCTGTCCTTTCCTACAGTAGCATTTATTATTTGTGTAATTGTCCAAAATTGCAAACAAACACGTGTCAAAACTGACTGGTTGGAAGTTGTAGTTAATCTACAACTTCCAACCAGTCAGAAACATTTCTGTGTCCACAGTGAAATGAATCATGGTCACAGTGTTTGTATCATGTAGAAATGTGCTGTATCTGAAGTGGTATTTGACAAAAACATTGAAAAACTGTGCATTAAATGAACACAATAGGCAACAACTGATTTTCAAAAGTCCAGTAGAATCTAGAAGAGAATTCCTACTGTTTGAGTGTCACAAGGCTAAAACTGTAAAATAACATATGTGTCTTCCTCAATGTCTTAGACAGGACATCAATAAGAGAAAATACGTAGGTGTGTCAAAAATTGGATGCTGACATGTATCCTCACTAGAGCAGGGATCAGGCTGCGTATTTCTGTCCGAACCCGACCTGTGTCCAACAGTGTGACATCTGAGCCCAACCCGAACCCGACAAGCTTATAATATGTCATTTCCAAACTCGAGCCTGACACGGTTGAGATTGTACAATGTGTTTCCCCTTATCATTAAATGAAGGAGACATTTGAGTGCTCCAGCTATCTAACCTAAGGTTTGACTTGTGTGTCCAAACCTGACCTGGACATCATTTCTAAATTTCTGTCCAAAGCCTCCTACAGACGGGTCCCACTGGGCTCAATCCAGGTATCTACAGTCTAATCCTCACTCATGGGTCCTTCAGCAGCCTCCTCACTCCTCGATCCTCAGGGCAGATACAAGAGTTTTGGGATGTCCTCCATCTTCACCCAAAGTCATTGTGGTGGAGTGAGGATGGAACAAGGATGGAGGACAAGGACTGAGGACTGAGGAACCTAAGAGACATGAGATGTAGCCCATTAGTGCATGCATGAGGTAAATAAAACAGGGACCCACTTTGCTGAGGGATCATCTTTTATCATCTGTTGTGACATTTACCCCATGTCCCCAGGAAGGTACACCTTTAATTTTATTTCTTTTTTTATCAGATTTCTCCAAAACGTGCACAAACATCACATCAGACATTATAGTAAAGAAACCCTGTAACATCTTCAAAAGAAAAATCAGCAATGTGCTCCTCTGTTGCTTTTCTTAGACAAAAATGTGACTGTGTGTGTTTGTGTGCTCATGTTTTTCCAGAGGACAAACTGGAGCAGCAGCATGCAGTGTTTACTCAGTACAAGGACCCATGTCGTATGGGGCCGGGAGAGGACAAGCCATGGGCTCTGGGTAACACACACACGTTCCTCTGGGACACAGTCTGACATCTCATACTCTGCACCTAAGGATCTGATGTGTGGATTCACTGAGGAAAAATACACATCATCTCCTCAGAAAGTGGTGTTGGACTAAATCATGATATGCAGGTGGTGCCATACACACGGTGGCCCATGAAATCTGCTGATCCATTCAGAGAAGTCATAGCAGACCAGACTATAATCTGCCTGTGTCTGGCTAAATCAGGATGCACCACTGTCTGAATTAAAATGCAGCCTGTACAACATGCTGACACACTACATGGGCATTAGTGACATAAACACTGGAAGATTTTGGTCTGGATATGAAGCATTGTTTAGGCTGGCGGCATTCTGGGGACAACATGGGAAGGACAGAGTGAAAGGGCTCATTTAGAGAAGGGCTCATGTATTTGTACAAGGGCATTTTGTGTGGCGAGCCAGGAAAAGGAGCCCCATTTGGCCACTAATGCAGGAGGGGGAGAGGGAGGCAAGAAAACAAGAATGGTTCAACGAAAGAAAGGGAAAGATGATCTCATCTAGTAAAGCCAAAAAAATCAGACCTTGAGTGAGTGAATTCAGCAGCATACCAAAAAAAGAAAAAGAATATAAGACAGACAGAGAGCCAGGCCACCAGCAATAGTCAGGTGTTGTACTGACGGTGTGTCGACAGAGTCCACGTGTCGACCTGCAGGGCACTCCCAGCGTGATCACCCTACAGTGCCTGTGCTGTGTTCACACCACATGTGAACTACAAAGAGCCTGGAATCACCGGACAGTTAAAAAGCAGTGACATGAAAGTAAATTCCCATGATTGATGCTGTTGAAATAAAAGGATTCAGTAAAAATCCCTTGTTGTTGATCATCTCCACTCTGATGTCGCTTTTGACGATATATTTGAGTCCACGTTTGATTAAACATGTCAACCACAAACCAAAAGCCCAATAAGTACGCTATCTGTGGCTTCTCGTGCATTTTAGGAGTCAAAACTGGTGTGAATGAAGATTTATTTTGTTTCATGCACACTACAGCTTGCTGTTGATGCGAGAATTCATGAGGACTGAGAAACCATCTGAAAGAAGGAGTCTCGTGCCTTTCTATATATTCCCTAATAAGCTGAGAACAGCACGGCAGAGCTGAAAGTGCCTGCCTGACACCTCCCCGTTTTTGTTTCAGTGATGTCAAACCTGCTCTTAGACTTCTGAGAAGTGCTGGCTGCACATCAGCTGCCTACTTTACATAAGAGCTCCCAACACTCGTAAATTGACTGGAGTAACTTTAGAGTGCTGCGCTTTTCATATAGGGTTTTTGAGCACGTCATCCTGCCCACAGCCTTGCATCCTCATTGTCAAGAGAATCTGAGTGCTCATCTCTCTCTGGCTGTTACATTTCAGCAGCTGCTAACAGTCATTTGCAGTCTGAAGAGAATAAAGGCACAGATATACTGTACGCTCTCAGAATAGAATCTGCTGATGCCACATCAGGAAAAAAGCCAAGTTGTGCTTACTTACTGTAGAGCAGCTATATGTGAAGTGAGAAGCTGGTTGTCATTGTGTGGGGGAGGGTTGTAAAGCATTCCCTAGACCAATACACCGGGAACAGAAAATAGCTGTGTTTGTAGATGTGTTACCGCAAATGAAAAACTTGGAGTAGAGTTGGATTTCTCTCATCTGGCCCATCAGATGTGACTGTTGGTGGCCCCCAGCCACTACATTCACACTTCTTTTTTACATACCCGTGTACAGTAAGTGCACATGGGTGCCTCTTATCAACACAACTATGCTGCATTTTCCATCCCCTGGCAACATTCCCCAACCCCATAACTTAGTCCTTTGCATTCTTCCTATTTCCATACAAAGTAATCTATATAAAAAAAACGAGTATATAGCCGTTGTATATAGAGGGGAAAATGTGGGCGTTGCCATCAGACAAATAATTTATGATCCAAATTTTTATACCTGTTGCTTATAGCTGTTTGCCGATCGGAACCAACATTTCTAATTCATAAGTGGTAAATATTATGAGGTCAGCTGATTTTAATTAAAAGAAAGAAACCAACTAGTCCTCCTGTGCAGCCTGTTACCTGGCAGGTCACGGAGTGGTGCAGAGGGAAGTTCCTGGCAGGTTTTATGTCACACACAAACAAACACAACATTAAACACTCATATTCCTTTGTCAGCCCACAGATCTGCCAAGTCATGGACACCATCATTGTTCTGCTGAAAGCTTAAAGTTTTGGAGCACTGCACTATTTAAATGCCATTTAAGGGTGCCTGCATTAATGTTTTCATATAGATAATGCGAGTCACATTATGGGACCTAACTACTTAAAACAGCAGAGTTTGGGAGGGGAGCCTTCTCACCAGACTAATGGAAAACATGCAGTACTTTATTTACAAGGTATTAAAAAAATAAGTAAACATATAAGAACAGCTTGTATTTTGTGTACACTACTTTCAGAGGGAGTGTTTAGGGAGGCACTGAATTGAAGAGACAGTCAATCAGTTGTAAATGATAAGAAATGATTAGAAAAGTGTGTCTATTCGCCCTGTGATGCATTTTAATGTGTCCAGGCACTCTGCTGGATCCCAGTGGCCTTTATGACGATGAGGTCAGCTCACCTGAAAGTTTACAAAAGTAAGTCTCACTTAAATGTGTTTCTTGTCACTTAGCAGTACACTGACTCACTGCATGTTCATTGGTGGAAGACTTCACCAAATCACTATTACTATCACTAAAAACTTAACCCTAAAATGTTTATGGGGGCAGGGACCTCGTCCAGAAATGGAAGTTGTCCCCATAATAATCAGGTGTTTGTCACCACAGTCACAGCATAAGCACACACAGACATGCACATTTGTCCTCATATACTTGTGAGCACTGGGGGATTGAACTTGCCCTACCCTAGCCCAGCCTTAACCTTTACACAGACCCTTAAGCATCTTGATTAAAATGACTGAACACTGGTTCAAATTTTCAGCTTCACGTTATCCCAAAACTCAGTAAAATACCAAGCTTAACAGATTGTTTTAATTATTTTCTTTTTTGTTATTCAGTGTTTTGTTGGTCTGTTTGCTTTGTTTCTAATAATATGTCCAACTTAAGTATTTATTATAATAAATAATACAATTAAGCATCTTAATTGTATTATCTCTGAATCAAATATTTGTTGGGCATTGCAGCAGTTGCATTCTGCCTGAAGTCAATGTGCACCATAATGGCAAAACAGGCAGTAAGAAAGTCAGTAGAAGCTTTCTGACTGGAAAGGCAGTAACAGGAAGAGGCTTTACACCACAGACACCATTTGCACTTTGTATTATCTTGTAAATCTAAGCCCTAGTCAGTGGATGACCTTTGACCTAGGCACTATACCACATGATCTGGGCTTCTGTGCAGTCACTCATTGTTGTAAATATTCGCTGTTACTTCACTGGACTGTGGTAACATGTGACTAAATGCAGAATTCAGTCCTCTTTTATAGCACTATTGATGTCCTAAACTACCACACATGCACAGATTTAACTGAAAGTCATGTATGTGCAAGAATAACAACATTGTGCAATGCCAAGTTGTGCAATTTCCTTTTAGAAGTGGGATGTTAAAAACTCCACATGGATTCAGATCTGACCGTTTGGACAGCGGTGGCATAGTCAAAGATCAGGTATGAGTGGGATTTAAGGCCACATATACAAATGGCCCAGATCAGATTTGTTTTGTTCACACATCTGTAAAAAGATCAGACCTAAGTCACTTGGAGGGGAAAAAGATTTGGGCCACTTCAGCAGGTGATGCGAGCATATTCATATATTTAGGGTTCCATCCCCTATACTATCTGTCTGTCTGTGGAAACCTCAGTCTGCTGATCCTCTCCCTACACTGTGTTTTTGTCAGAGTGATGGAGAATGAAGAGGGGAGGAAGGAGTACCTGGTGTTTCCACCCAGTAAGAAGCAGTGTCCCACCAGCAGTCAGAAGGGGAGGAAGATCCCACTGAAGGGCAACGGACGGCGGATTGATTACATCCTCTACAGTGACGAGGGCCTGCAGCAGGACTGGAAACTGGTAAGGTTTAGTAGATGATTATCCTTATTAGATGATGAGCAAAAGCCGGAAAGGATCACCAGTGTTCTTGTCAACAAACCATACAAAAAGACCAAAACCTACCCCGAGCTGCCGTTAACAGATATTATGTCTGTATCCAAAGCCTGATGAATCTTATTCCTCTGCACCACTGGTGTCGATGTGTATCGTCAATGTAAAGTAGGTGACTATTAAAACATTAATAATTTTGGTGCTTTGAGCCTATTCAGAGTTTAAAAAGCAAGTATTTTGGAGACTAACATAAGTACACCAGTGCTTCTGTCTCTCTGGCTTGTGACCAGTTCCAACACAGACTGAAATGGTATTTTTCTTTTTTAATTCTGAAAATGTGAAGTAATTCAGCAATGCACAAGAAAAAAGATTTTTGAAAAGTCAAAAAAATCTGAGTAATGCTGCTGTAATGCATCGTATGATCATTCAGATATATCTTTTGTCCCCTTGATAGGTTCTCAGCTCCAGCTGTTCTAGAAACAGCTTAACTCCAGTTTGTTAGTTGTGTAACTGTACTAAATCAATTCCTGCATAATCCAAAAGCGGCAGATAACCGTGCTTATAGGGTGAGATATTGTATATTGGTATCTTCTTGTAAGCAAAGAGGTGATCAGCCTTATTCTACCCTCATCCATTTCCTAGCAACAAGACACTTGTTTTCCAGAGCCATGTGAGACACAAGTGGAAGCGGGTGGAAGGATCTCATACCACAGCAGATTGTTTGACTCGTTGGAAGGATAAAAAGATTCAAAGATGTAAAAGTGCAAGAGGGGACAAGTGAAGCACAACAAACTGGGAAGGAAAGGAGCAGGGGCACTTCTGTCATGGCTGTCTGTCTGTGTGACTGGGGAAGTCTGGAAAACTAGATCACATCATTTACATCCCTTTCCCTGTCTCCCTGACCACTGCCACCTGGCGCCACCTGGTGCCAGAATGTAGTCACTGTGACATCACTTGCCACTGTTTTGCTTCCTCATGAACAAACCTCTTCAGATTCAGTTTTCAGATTTCGTCACACCTTATTTCATTAAGTTGTTTCTGTTTGCTTTTCAGCTTGCATAAACTTATATCACTATATACATTTCTTGTATACAGCTTAAGAAATATGAAAAAACAATGATGAATAAAATAATATATATATCCCAAAAAGTTGTGGAAAGTATCTAAGTAATGTACTTAAGTACAATTTTGAATTATCTGCACTTTACTTATTTTCATTTTCTGCTCCTTCATCCTTCAGCTTCACTAGATTTTAGAGGCAAACATTGTACTTTTTACTCTGCTACATTTGTTTGATAACTTTAGTTACTAGTTACTTTTCAAAATCACAATAATTATACAAACTACAGTGTAATCACCAGAATTTATTGATTGATCCTTGGTGGGAAATTCACAAAATGTCCATCAGTACTTCAAATTATAAACATGTGACATTATTAAAACAGCTCCAGCTTCACCAGCTGCAGCATTAAATGTGATGCACGTACACAATAATGTAGCAATGATTTTATGTATTAATGTAAAATGTGCTATTCTGTATAATTAGTACTTTTACTTTTGGTACTTTAAGTATATTTTGATGCTTGTCCCTCTGTATTTTTACTTAAATAACATTTTGAATGCAGAACTTTTGCTTGTAACTGAGTATTTTTACAGTGTTATTGCTTCTTTTACTTAAGAAAATGATTTGAGTACTTCTTCTACCACTGATCCAAAACACTGTAGGTAACATTCCCAACATTTGTAATAGCAGCAATGAGAGACTTCCTTGAAATATTTTAATTGACAGGCCAGTACTAGTAATAAGTAGTGATAGTAGCATTTGTGGAACAACAGCAGTAGTAGTGGTGGTAGTAGTACTAAATGTAAGCAGTAGTAGTACATTGTATGGGGATGGCCTGAGGCTGTTTATCACACAGTGTGGAAAGGTCCCCTTTGTTCCAACGAAGGGAAGTGTTGTCACACGTGTTCTTCCAGCACTGTGGCAGCTGGTTGGGGAGGCCCCGTCTTCTTCCAACAGGACAAAACCTTCATCACAAAACCAGTTCCATCATAATAGTCAATAGATTCCCAGTTTAACAGGCCTGCACAGACCCTGGGTGAACTGGAACCCAACATCTAGTGTCCACATACATGTAGTGTAGAAACACTTTACTTTAAAACATTAATCAATGCGCTCTTGTTCGTGTACAGTGTGTGTGAACAATTACAACATCTCCTCTGAAGACATATTTTGAATTATATTTCCATACATTATCAGTTCATGCAGCTATGATCCACATTTGGGTGCCCAGAAGATTTACATTGTAGCTGTTGTTACATTACATTAAAGCTTGCACAGAATTACAGCTCAAAACTGTGGTCCTCCCCTATAGAGCTTTTTAGCTCATTGTTTTGGTTTTCCAGCCCCAAGCCCTGCTGTCACCAGTTTTCAATTGGACATCTCTGGGGGGACAGCGTTGAGAACAAGCTGGTCTAGACAGTTGAGCATTAGGCAGGAGCTGATAGAGACCCAGAAAGACTGTGACTACAAGGCAGGGTGACCAGAAACACAGCTTCAGCTAAATGCTAATGTCCATTGCTCTATGTCAGGCCAATGTGTAAATAAATCAATAAGCCATTCAAATTTTTTAATGTGAAAATATGTCAGTGCTGTTCTGCAGAATGCAACGTACGACTGCTGAAGCTGTGATGATTTAATGAGGATGGTTCCTGTTTCTGCCCCCTGCAGGAAATTGAGGAGTTCAGCTTTGTCACCCAGTTGGCCAGTCTCACCGACCACCTGTCTGTGGCCATGCGACTGACTGTTTCCACCGGGGAAGAGGAGCCTTAGACTAAATACTGCCAAGAAGGAATGACAAACAACCCAGAAGAGAAGAAGAGATTTCAAGTTTACAGATATGGAGCTGCTTGAGACAGAATGCAGTTCTGCATGAGGACTGGAGAGACAGCAAACTGGACAGATGAATCAGTGGAAGCATACTCACCTGACGAATGGATATAAAGGAGGTAGAGGAGAGTGCAGCTGTGGCGAGATATGAAAAAGAAAGACTGCAGGGGAGAGATAAGCACAGGGGAGTCCCGTTTAAAAAGCCAGGAAGATAATCACCTTCCCAAATAAATCACACACACACACACTAAATAAAGCACCAAACACACAAATATAAGTGACGGACATTGTGACTGTTAAATATCACCTGGCCTCTCTGCTTCTCTCCCTGCTGAAAAAAAAATTTACAGAAAATTGTTTCATGTAGCCAATTTACACATGCTCCTGTTTTAGCTGTAGTCTGAGGATACATTTTTATGATTCTACCTTCAGGGACAGTTGATTCTCATTCTTTCACAAGTGTGTATAAAAGGGAAACACGGTTTGAGTGATGAGAGAGAAGCATTCGTTTGCTGGCTGACCTTCACACTGACCGTCTGTGTCCGTCTGGGGGGCTGTGCACCATCAGGCTACTGGTCAGTTCCACCTTATTGGTCCCACATCGGTCCCAGGAACCTCAACAAGTGTGTTTGTTCTAAAACAAACAAGACTAGTCTGTAACATAAGAGAAAACTTTGCATTCATCCCAAAGCTTTATGACTTCAGTTCATGAACTGACAGAAATGAGAACAAAGGATCTTTATTAAAATAAGAGAGTTAGAGATGAGGTTTTGAGAACAGTCACATCTTATATGTAGATTGCTAGCAAGCTACAGTTACTGGCTGTTTGTGGCAAACACTGTAAGCACAGAGTCCAGCATATAATAATGCAAGGCTAAAATTTGCTTTACATTCAGTCTGAACACACCTTCAGTATTCTGCTCCGTCACTGTGACCATTAAGGTGGTTGATAGTAAAACCTGTGGCCCCTTTACCCATGTTGGGTCTGGTCTGTGGAAGACTGCTCTTGCCCAAACATTAGAGGCCATACAAACAACATTTTGAGCACTACTTGGTTTGCAGCTCAGCATTTGAGAGCATACAGGCACAGATTTGAGAGCACAACCCCCGCCATCTGATTCTGCACTTACATTTATTTACTTATTTGTTCCTGCACATTCTCAAATGCTGAGTTGCAAACTGAGTAGCACTCGAAGCATGGTTTGTGCGCCCTCAAATGTTTTGGCGGTCATGTTCTCTTAGGTTGAGTGATAGGCTACTATTATTAGCTCAGACTTCACAACATAAGAACATATCAGTTTAGAAAGCAGTTTAGAACATCAGTAAACTGGCTCAGTAATGTTCTCCCTGCAGCAACAACCTACCAAACATTCAACGCCATAATGTATGGCTTGTTGCAGACCAAATAAGGCTGTTGTAGCGAAACCTCTGAGTGAGCTGAAGTGAGTAATGGTGCGTTTTATTACTTTCTATGTTAAATTTGTAAGAAGAAGATTGAATTATTTCTTTGTGAAAATGAAAAGCTTAAAAGAGAAGTTGGTTTTAGTGACGTGGCCTCCCCGTCACTCGACGCTGCTGGGAACATACGGATCAAGTCACTCAGCATGGGACAGCTACTAAAATCATGCTGTAGAATTCTTTTAGAGATATGTGAAAAAATACATTACAGTGACAGCGTGAGGTTTGAGATACTGTTTGATTTCCATGGGCTGTACAGTGAACAATGTTTACAACAGCTTTTACACCTGTTTCTTGGCACTAGAGAGGAGCTCAGCCAGTGTCAGTCTCAACACAGATGTGTGTGTGTGTGCATCTAGGCAGCTCATCATGTTATATTTTTTAAAATACAAATGTGCTAACTGGTGTTTCCCTGAACACACTGTGCTGAAAGTTACCACAGGATGTACAATACAGTATGCGTTTACAGATGTGCATTTGCAAATGTGTGCGTGTGAGTGAGTAGTATGTGTAAGCAACTGCAGGAAACACACCAGTTCTTCTGTTATGGATGTTCGGCTTTCATTTCTACGTACAGTATGAGTCCACGGGTCACCTGGCTGCTCTGACTCTCTCATGTCTTTTTATGACTCACATTATTGTAACTATTATTACTAATATATTCTTCTAATTACTGAGGTTTGTATCTGTACTTTTTTTTTTATTCAAGTGTCACCATGTATTTTTTTAGGTTAAGTTTATGTCAGGTTCTTGAGAAACACGTCTTGAGTTAGGGTATGAGATCAATCCTAGATATGTCTTTGTACTTGCTAAATAATCATGTAAATACACTACAGGTCCATAGTGATTTGCAGAAAGGTGCCACAGTTTCCCTGGGAATCACCTCTTAGGGTGAATTAGTAACAGGTTTGGGGGAAGTACAGTGGTAGGAAATGTAAAAGTTTATTTAATTCCTTTTTAGTGAGGCAAGCATCCAAACAATGGGACTTCCTGTAATGTTACATATCCATGATGATACTCCACTTTTATTTTCTTTTTAAAAGCTGGAATGTGGAGGTAATCCATTTTTATTCTGGAGTTTGTTTTGTTTTGCTGATTGTTCTGTGTTTGTATTTTTGCATATTTTAATAACACAAAGACTGAAGAAAGTGTTGGGTGAAGAATTTGATTTAGAGGCTCAGTTCAAAGGTGATGCTGTGAGCACAACAGTTTCTGTGTGTGTGGGTATGTTCATGGGAATGCGGGCAATAGACCTCAGAGATGTTCTATGTAGTGGGACCTTGACATTTCAGTCACTTAAGCACACACTAGATTAATTAGAGGAGGAAATGTGAACACCCCGCATGATAGGCAGTTTCTAGGGTCAAAAAAAAGTTATATGGTGTAAAAATGAGTTAAAAAACACAAGTCACATTCTTACACACCAACTCACTGAACGACGTTAGGCCACTCTGTGTGGAGCTCAGTAGAACTGCAGAGTCAATTCATTCCTTTTGGGTTAATCAGTACAACCATCTTCTCCTTACACACAGTGTTTTCACCCAACATCTATATAAAATATTGATAAGTCCTTTAAAGTCAAAGACAGTGGAGGATTTCTTGTTCACTCCCCAGCTGAGGTGTAGCTGCTGGGTGCTCAGTGCGGTCACCGGTGACTGTAAACTGTATTACAACCCTGATTGAAAGAGCAGTCCAATTTCCATACCTTTACTGTCATAGTAAAACATGTTTTTGCAACTTTGTACTGTATAATGTCACTATTTTCCAGCTCAGTAGTTACCCCCGTAACAAAATGCATGAACGCCAGAGTGACTGGAATGTCCCAGCTCTGTCGTAGAGTCATCAAGGACCATAGTACACAACTAGGTATAGCATGTATAGATATAGGTAAAGCATGTATAGCATGTTTCTCCACATTATTTTAGGGCCAATGGGAGCATTATGGTTTTTGCAGAACTCACAAAATCTCTTTTATCTTATGACGCTGTTGCTAATGACAATCAAGTAATCAGAATTAACCAGTATAGCCTCTGCATCATTTCTAAGACCCTCTATGGAGCTAGTACACACACACCACAGCCCCTCAGATAATCTCTGTGTCCCCAGTTCTATCCAGGATTAAGATTATAGACAACCAAGGGGAAAAGAAACTTTATATAAAACATGAGCACATACAATATTTAACTAACAGGTCATTCTTCCTTCACTACAGTACTTACAGTGCGTTCCAGCTACCGATCAGACACGACAGACATTTCCTGGCATCTTTTTCTGTAACATTTCTGATCAACAAATACTGTCCCTTATGTGTCCATCAAGTTCAGAACAGAACGTTTCCACAGTTGGCTGGGATACAACAAAGCTTTTCTAGCTGCGTGTACTGTATTAATGCTTCAGGTCTGTAGGCTCAGTAGAAGCGATGCCTTACTGCGATTCTTTCCTCACTTGCTTTTCTATGATTTCCCTCTGTTCATGTTCCTTTAATTGATTTTTGTCTTTGGGTGAGGGTGTTTCTTGATGGGGTCATCTAGCTCGGTTTCTATAATGTGACTAGAGGAACAATAGCTTTTCTCTTTCCAAGCTTCTTCAACAAACTGCTTATTTTCTTCTGCTTTTTTAAAAAACAAAGGAGTTTTTCCTCTCCCTGTGTCTTTGTGTTGTTATTTGAGCTCTGGGCATTCAGGGACCATTCACTGTTCTTCTGTCAAAGCTTGTATGGAAATAACTAGTCAATATAACCAGCAGTGAAATCTGGCCGAGCACTGGTTGACCTCACTACTGAGTGTGCTGTGTGTTCTTTAATATGAAATGCGAACTTTGAGGTACATCACTGGGTCTCCTATGAGGGTGCTATTTTTATCACAACATAAATATTTTGTTTGCCTCTCTTAAAAGACAAAGTATGAAGAAGTGAAAGAAGCTTTGAAAGGTCCTTCTGCTTTCAATGAAGAGGGGAAACACTCCAGCACTAAAAATTCAAATACAGTTCTGTGTCAAATGTGAAAACCCCCCTAACACTGAAACTCCCCATCCATATACGACATTACAAAATCATTTGAGTGAAAACTTGTCTTGGCTTTTTAAAATTTCCAAATAAGTCCCTGTTGTCAAGCATTTCATGGTTCCTTTGATTCAATGTGCTGCCAAAAAGCACCTCAGTAGTTTTAATATATTTTAAGGAGAACAGTGAGTCAATGACTGTGTGCAGTGTCAAAGGAATTGCTCTAGATAAAGTATGTGATTTTCACGTTCCTCAACAGCTCTCCTCAGCTCTTTAGTCTTATTGTTTTGGTTCTATGTTCCCACATTCATCGACCTTGTTTTCAGTGAAAAAAGCCCTTAAATCCCGCTCTCCTGTAAACAGCAGAAACTCAAAGCTGGCAACTGTTGAACACTGTGGAGCATTTTGCAGCCAATGAAACCAAAAGGTAGGCAGCTGTTTGCTAACATGTTAGCACAGAGACACACCAAGTCGGATCGAAAAAGTGGCACTTGAACACATGACACAGACTACAGCCAACAACCGACTAGCATGGACACCAGCAGGTGGTGGTATCTGTATTCACCATTCAGAAAGGGAAAGAAGAAGAGCTAGACTATCAAAATACAATCTGTAAACAATCAGCTCTCATTCAACACAGCCACTTTTTATACCTGATTCTAAATGAAAATACAGTATGTCTGATAAGTCGTAAATGGCCCTGCCGTTCTCTGCCCTTGGCCTTTTGGCTGTAAAAAAGAAAGGAGGTTGTGGAGGTGAAAAACAAGGAGAAACTACACTAATTGTTTAGCGACAGGCTGAAGGGGCATTGTTTTGCTAAGCTAAGCTCAACAGCCAATCAGAGTGGTCTCTCTCACCAACAAGGCCTAAGAGGCC